AAATGCGGGTGTTGAATAACGCATATATAGCACCCGGGAGAATTGGGTTGTCAATAAGGCCAATGCACGCCCAGGGCTGGAAACCCTTGAATTTCCGTTAATTTCCGGTCGGGTGCAGTTACGGTTTATTTGAGCCCGGCCGCACGTAGCCGTTCCCCCTCCCTCCCTCCCCCCCTTCATAATGGCAGTAGCGTAATTACGTTTACTTTTTGGATTTGCATACATATGCGTCCGCTTTTTCCTCTCGGAGTCTTTCTTTGCTAAAAACGCCCCAATATCGCACAATACAGAGCCCACTGCTGCGCTAAAGAAAGGCGGCCCCTTCCTCGACCAGTTTGGATTACCAATCTCTCGGCAAACTTTCGCGCCTCTCCGTTGGTTTCGATGTCATTGCGATGACTAATCACCCCTCCTTGAAAAGATTTAAAGTCACGGTCGCTTGTCAATCCCGCCGGCTTCGTGGCAGCCTTTGCAATCCAAAACTATTTCCTCTCCCATTCTATTATCTCTTTTAAACAGAACAATTCCAGAACCCCCACTCTACCCTGCATCCCTCTCCTCTCACATCTCTTACCGAACCAATTACTCACTCTAGTACCGCTCCTCAGCATACACCCCCCGTAATAATGTACATCTCCACTCTCCAAGGCTCAACCCCTACCAAAATCCTCCCTCCCCAAACTAAACACACGGCATATAAAAGGCAGAACCCGGCCAGCCAAAACAAAACCCCATCGCACACACATCTCTACCAGTGCCAAACTACCAAGCACTCCACACTCAACACAAACACTAGTAACTTCTGCGGCTCAGGAATTTCACAATGAGGTCGTTACGCTGCCTCGCCGTTTTCTGCATATTTGCGAGCGTGTACGCAGCCACTTTGCCATCCGCTTACACCACAGATGGCGTTAAAGACTTGCAGAGGTCTGCTTTTCCGGCGCTACAGCCAGATTTTCCAGAGCGGGAGAGTAATTCTTCCGATTTCTCGGAAGAAGGGTCTGATCTTTTGGGGGAACACTTTGATGATTTGGTGGAAGACTCTGCTATTTCGGAGGACTTGGGCGAGGAGGAGATGTCCGCTGATATTCCGGAGGAGGAGTCCGCTGATATTCCGGAGGAGGAGTCCGACCCTACCAAGGAGGGGTCTGTCATTCCGGTAGAGGACATTGATGCGTCGGGGGAAGACCTCACGATTCCAGAGGAGGACTTTGAAGTTCCAGACGGGACGTCTGAAATTTCGGAGTCAGAAAATTCGCAAGAAGACTACTACGATCCGGAACACGAGTTTGATGATTGGGAAGAGTTTGATGATTGGGAAGAGTTTGACACAGACGAGTCTGAGGCGGATGATGGGCCTGCTACTGAGGGGGAAAGGACCGATTTTTTAGAGGAGCCTGAATCTCCGGTGGCATTCCCGGAAGATTTGGAAGGGAGCGAAACGACGGACAGGATGCATATTACCCCACACGATCTCACCGGTGACACAAACGGGAACACTGCTTCCCTACAGAACAAGTCCTACTTTGGCTCTATTGCTAATGCTCTTCGTGCTGCATACGCGGGAGGACGCCCCGACGACAGGCGCAAGAATAAGAAAGATCGCGTGAACCCTAAGCGAACGAAGCCTACCAAGCCCAGGGTCAAGCGCACAAAGCCGAGACCCGGTCGCAAGCCAAAGAAGTCGCGCACTCGCACTCACCCGGGTAAGAAGCCGCGCAACCCCAAGAAACCACGCACTCGCACTCCCCCGCGTAAGAGACCCCGCAACCCCAAGAAACCACGCACTGGCACTCCCCCGCGTAAGAGACCCCGCAACCCAAAGAAACCACGCACTCGCACTCCCCCGCGTAAGAGACCCCGCAACCCCAAGAAGCCACGCACTCGCGGCCCCCCGCGTAAGAGGCCGCGCAACCCAAAGAAACCACGCACTCGCACTCCCCCGCGTAAGAAGCCGCGCAACCCCAAGAAACCACGCACTCGCACTCCCCCGCGTAAGAAGCCGCGCAACCCCAAGAAACCACGCACTCGCACTCCCCCGCGTAAGAGGCCGCGCAACCCAAAGAAACCACGCACTCGCACTCCCCCGCGTAAGAAGCCGCGCAATCCCAAGAAACCACGCACTCGCACTCCCCCGCGTAAGAGACCCCGCAACCCCAAGAAGCCACGCACTCGCGGCCCCCCGCGTAAGAGGCCGCGCAACCCCAAGAAACCACGCACTCGCGGCCCCCCGCGTAAGAGGCCGCGCAACCCCAAGAAGCCACGCACTCGCACTCCCCCGCGTAAGAGGCCGCGCAACCCCAAGAAGCCACGCACTCGCACTCCCCCGCGTAAGAGGCCGCGCAACCCAAAGAAACCACGCACTCGCACTCCCCCGCGTAAGAGGCCGCGCAACCCAAAGAAGCCGCGCACTCGCAGCCCCCCGCGTAAGAGGCCCCGCAACCCAAAGAAGCCCCGCTCCGGGGGTCGCAACCCCAGGTCCAAGCCTTCGAGGCCTCCGACCTATACATTTTCTGGTCAATCAGAAACGTCAGGAGCCCCCCCTGGGATGCCATCCGAGTGCTCTTGCGCTCAAGTCGCCAGCCCCTCAAGCACGTGTTATACGATGACAGACTTCGACACAAAAGCTTGCAGATCGCGTAAATGCGAGCCGAAGTATGAGTGTGTAACGAGCGAGGCCTCGAGACAAGTCGTGCAGGCACTGAACGACACGGACGGCCAGCTGAACGTGGCGCAGAGAACGCGACAGGAAGCTTCGACGCTTTGCCGACTCAAGAAGATCAGTACCCGGTTGGTGCACGATCGCTTGAAGGCAGGTTTCTGCCATGAAGAGAAGGTGGATTCCTGGGCGTACTCCCCGTACACAACGGCCTAGAGCACTACTCGAGCAGTGGTGTTCATGATGGACTCCAACCAATCTCCACGTAGCGTAGTATCTCTGAAGATTCCGAAATGGTAATCGATATGCAATCACAATAAAAGGAAAGGACTTTGGACTAGCCATCATTGTTCTTGACATCTTGCAAATTAATTCTCCACACGCCATCTCCATGAGGGCCCGACCTTTGCCGATCGACACAGGTAACTAACATTGCGTACATTCGATTAAGGCCTGTAGCATACATCACGAAAGATTCAGGGCGGCGCGGCGGTTGAAGACCATTGTTCTCTGGGAGACTGAAACGTGGAAAGACAATACCTCGCACGGAGAGGACGACGCTGTGTGCCAGATAGACCCGACTCTACGATCTCCGATCTGCTCATCGAAGACAGCTGCCGCAATAATCGAGATGTGCATGCTGTGGTGCAAGGAACGATGCCCGAGTTTACTGAGGGAGACGGACCGTGTGCGACTAAGGGCCGTTCCTAACGACGAGCACGGTGTGCTAGCACGCAAGCACCCTGACATTTGGCATGAATGGATTGGTTGAACGGGAGTAAAAGCATTTCCAATAATTTTTTCAACCAAGAAGGGGAGCGGCGCCGGTGGCGGCGGCGCTGCCTGGGGAGCTACATCTGTGCTACGTGTGTGCGTGGTACAGGTGTGTGAGCTGTGCATGGGAATCATGACACATGCCATCCCAGAATCGCGATTCACGTTGTCCAGCAATGTCACCTGTTAGTGACGCAAATTAATTGTGATCTACACTTCCCAATTGTATTTTAGATAACTACATTTACCCTTTAGATTCGCATTTGCGTCTGCTTCTCCCCTCAATATCGCACTTTACGGAGCCTTTTGCTTTGCCAGAGAAAGCTGATCACCTATTCGAGCAGTCTACATTTCTTATCTCTCCACAAACGTTTACGAAAATTTTCATGTCATTGGGATACCTCATCACCTCCATCTTGAAAAGATTTTGAGTTACGGTCGCTTGTCAATCCCATCGGCTTCGTGGCAGCTTTTGCAATCGCAAACTTTCTCCTCTCCCCCACTAGTCCTTCTTATAAACAGAAGAAATTTGAGACCCCCCGCTCTACCCTGTATCTCTAAACTGTTCCATCCCTTACACGACCAACTTGGCACTCAAACACCCCTCCCCTGCTTGCGTGCCTCGTAATAATGTACACCTGCACTCTCCACATCTCAACCCTTGCCAAAACCTTCTCATCTAGCTTGAAGACAGGGCTTATAAATATGCAAAACAAAACTCCATCTCACAGCTGCCTCTGCCAGAACCAAAAACCAAACACTTCACTCTCCGGGAAAAGACTGGCCCCTACAGCGACTCAAGCATCTCACAATGAGGTCCTTATCCTGCCTTGCCTTCTTTTGCATACTTGCCACTGTTTACGCAGCCACATTGCCCTCCACCTACGCCAGCCACGGGATTACTAACATCCTAAGGCTGCCTACTCCACCCTTGTACACAGGTCCCAGTGCGCTTGAGCCAGATACGACCGACTGTACTGAAGATACCGCCGACTGTAGTGAAGACACATCACCCAACAACATCAACACGAGTGCCTCAGAGGAGCTCGGAACTTTCAAAAGTTATGACGAAAATCGGAATCCTGATCAAGATAGTTCCGCTTCTGATATTCAATCCCACGTAATTCGTGTGAATGGTTCTGAAGGTTCCAAAGCGAACAAGGGCAAGGGCAGAGGAGAACGTCACTCAAGTGGCTCAAGGGGGAAAAAGGACATGAGCAAGGAGAGGCGGGAGGGCACAAAACAGCGCCGATTGGGAAAGTCGGACAATGACGACGGTGGGGAAAGGAAACGCAAAGGCAAGAAGGGTGGCAAACGCCACAAAGGAAGACGCGGAAGGGGAAAAAAGGGTGGTACGCGCTACAAGGGCAGACACGGAAGGGACGAGAAAGGCGGTAGGCCCCGCAAAGTTAGAGGCAGAAGGGATGAGAAGGGTGGAAGTCGGAACAAGGACAAGCGCGGAAGAGGAAAGAAGGGCGGTAGGCCCCACAACGGTAGAAGCGGAAGCAGCAAGAAGGGTGGCATGCGCCATAAGGGTAAACGCGGAAGAGGCCAGAAGGGCGGTAGGCCCCACAACGGTAGAAGCGGAAGGGGCAAGAAGGGTGGAAGTCGGAACAAGGACAAGCGCGGAAGAGGAAAGAAGGGCGGTAGGCTCGACAAGGGCAGACGCAGAATGGATGAGAAGGGTGGCAAACGCGGAAGAGGCGAGAAAGACGGTAGGCCCCACAAAGTTAAAGTCGGAATGGATGAGAAGGGTGGGAGTCAGAACAAAGACAAGCGCAGAAGAGGAAAGAAGGGCGGTAGGCTCCACAAGGGCAGACGCGGAACGGATGAGAAGGGTGGCATGCGCCACAAGGACAAGCGCGGAAGAGGCAAGAAGGGCGGTAGGCCCCACAACGGTAGAAGCGGAAGGGGCAAGAAGGGTGGAAGTCGGAACAAGGACAAGCGCGGAAAGTACGGCCGACAAAACAAAAAGCCCCCCCGCAATGGCACTAAACTTTCTGGCCAGTCTGATACCTCCGACGCCCCACTTTCCATGCCTACAGAATGTCCATGTGCTCAAGTTTCCGTCCCCTCAGGAGTGTGCTATGAAATCACTGACCGTAAGACCATGGCCTGCAAAGAACGCCGTTGCGACGTGAAGTATGAGTGTGTCACCAGCGAAACAGCGAGACAAATTCTCAACAGCAATCAACTGCAGTTATCCTACTCCAGCAGGAAAGAATCGGCCATTTCCCTTTGCCGATTGAAGAAGGTTTCCACAAGGGTCATCAGCAACAAGCTGAGGAGCGGGTACTGCAATCAAGAATCCGCTGAAAACTGGGCGTACTACCCGTACGTCGCAGATATCGCTAGCTAGAAGACCGTTGGCCAATGCTCAAGACATTGAGTCTTTGACAACACCTTAGTACAGACATCCAGAGAACCCTGTGACGTTGAAAGGGTATTCCAAATGCAATCGCAATAAAAACCAATTTCTTCGATCCCGTCTCCATCCATTTAGTGTCTATTGGACTGTTGTCCTCAAATGAGGACACTATTCGACTTATTGCATTCTCGACTTGCGCTTCCTCAACAAGCAAGAAGAAGATACACCCGCCACTGTACTTGACTCCTGACTTGGGGACAGAAAGAACTTTGTGAGAATTCCATGTTCTTCCTGGTCGTTTTTAGGTATGTCTGGAAAGAAGCGTTTTAAAACTACCTTAAAACCGCATGTAAACTAACTTCGAAACCAAAAGCGACAGTAAAACTGAGAACTATCTACTCAATATGCATCTGTAAACCGCGTTTAAACCGCATGTAAAATATATTTGAAACCAAAGCGCCAGTTTAAAAAGGGAAACATGGACATTCTTAAACTTTCTGCGTATTCAAAACTGCTATTCCTGTTGGTGAGCAAATGCAGAGGACCGTACAGTACCAACCAAAGGACATGGAACCCACTGGTCAGTTTAGCCGACAGTCATCAGACCGCGGGAAGGAAATTCGCAGCGCACTTTGAGGAGAACGTCGTTCGAATTGTTGTTTGTTGTATGTCTCCGGCCGCGCCTCTTGTCCGCGACCGATGGGGGTTGTGCCAAGGGGCGAGACGGAACCGGGCGCAGGGCGGTGTAAGCAGCGGCTGTACTTAAGCGAGCGACAGACGGCACCCTAGGGCCCTAGCTAGCGTTTTACATACCTTTCCATACAGTTTCTGCACTGCGTCGACAAGAAGCGTTGGAGCTACGGAAGGTGGGCGCTCTATAACTAAACTCATTCCAAACAGATCTCCAGTTTCTCACCACCGTCCACTTCAATTGCCTCTCTCTTCTCTCCAGCTTCCAATACCCAGTCCCGCAGCCCGAGTAGTTTTAGGCCGACATCATTCCGGAATTGTCAGCTAGCTATTTTTGGACTACGGCCAGGACACGATGTCTGGAAGTGAAGAGTCACACGCAGAATCATCCGACACTGGAGCTCAAGAAACTCCCAATTTGGCCAGGCTGACGCATGTGCCAGCCTCTCAGACTGCTTCAGCATTCGAGAGAACTGACGATATTTCCTGGAGCCCTGATGAATCGTCTTCGAAACAAGTCTATATCCTGACATGGATGCAGGTTATTATCCAGCAAAGAACCTATGGAGCAGACATCCGCGAGAGCTTCACAGACCTTGTCCGTCCCGAGACCCTGTTCGCCGGGGAAGTTATCAATGGCAGTTCCGCACATCGCATGTACAAAGAGATGCGTGATCTCATCTACGCACGGAACGGAGGCATAGAGAAACGAAGAGGCCTCCAGATAAAGAAAGCACTAGCGAGCTATTACAGCGACGAGCAGTCATGCCAGGACGCCGTCGATCTGGCTCGGGAAATTGTTGAGGAAGGAATCAGGACGCTGTCGACTAGGAGGATGGACTACGCACGAGCGACAACGCTTCCTAGCGAGCCCGATCGAGTTACCCCAGAAGAACTACTTCACAACGATGTCGCCGCCCCGGCGCCGACCGAAACCGAGCAGATCCCGCGCCGACTTTTTGCTACGGCGGAAGGTACCGACGCTGCAACGAAAGAAAACCGACATGCCCCATTTCGGACGGGACCGGCTGTAACCAGCAGCAGACCGAACGACGACCGACAATTTGTGCCCCTGCATCGCCGAAACACACACGCGCACTGCGGAGTACACCCGAGCAAGATTCCAGGACCACAAGGTGTATCCCCACATACTGTGACAGTATTGAACAAACTCGCTCAACGCTTCAAGGACCGCGCGGACATATTTGGGGGCGGTGACGGAGAAAACTGGGAAGACATCTACAGTACTTTCATGAACTTCGTAGTACAATTGGGTGTACCAGAGCATGCTGCTCTGTGTGGGATAACTCCTCTCCGCCCTGCGTTGGGTGAGAGGCGGAGGCTTTAGCGAGGGAGCACGCGGCGCGGACGCGACGCGCCAATT